AGCGTAATTGAGCCAGACAGTATTATGCTTACCGAGGACAGCTCCCAGACCAGATGGAATTCCGAACTCTATGTTAAAATTTGTACTCCAAGAATCACCTAATCTTCTGCTAGAACTACTGAATTACTCGTTTGTGAACGCATGGATACCTCCAGAACGAAAACTTGCCAAAATTACAGTGTTGCTCAAACATGAAAATGAGACATACATGTTGGATAACATAAGAACAATTACACTTACATCAAATTTAGTGAAATTGGTTGAGAGAATCATTAATATACAAAATAATGAACCTATTACCGAAAGCTCAATTCTAAGCCCCTGTCAAATTGGGTTCAGGGCTGGTTGTTCAATTTAGGATGCCCACGTTCGTTTAGAAAGTCCGCTTCAATTAGCTCGGCTACATAACAAATATGCAGCTTCAGTTACTTTAGACATCGCTAAAGCATATGATACCGTGGAGCACTGTATGTTGATAGATCGATTAGAATACCTTGATTTTCCGTCATACATAGTAGCGTGGGTTCACATTTTTTTCTTGCAGACAGGAAGTTTTATTGTTTCAAAGATGGGTTTTCATCATTTATTCATACACAAACGAGGGGAGTACCGCAAGGCTCAGTGCTTTTTCTGCTATTTAATTTACTAATGAGCACCAATCTACTTAAACAGGACATAACGACTTATGTTTCTGTAGACTATATTGCAATGGCAGATGACATTCAGACCTTATATGAACGGCTGCGCACTTGCCTGAATATATCGGAGAGCTGGCTCGATGGCAACTGCTTTCTACTTAATCGGAGTAAATGTGCCCTCCTTGGAGAAATTTATCACACATCGCTTCATTGGCGACCTCATATTGAACACATCACCGGAAAAGGTGTGCGGTTCATTGGCATATTACGTAGGCTAAGCAACTACGACATAGGTATGAGGAGAGACACACTGGTAATGATATATAGCATGTACGTTCGTCCCATTTTGGAATTTGATTGTGTACTTTTCTCTGGAGTTCCAGCTTACAAGTTGCGGCCTCTAGTTCTTCTGTAAAGAGAAGCTTTGCGCTTTTGCCTTGGCCTGCCTAAAAAACTTGCTAACAATGTGTTGTATCTTGAATCGAGGATCCCTCATCTTTCCTGTAGAATTCACCTTCTGACTGTTCAGACATTTTCAAGAATTTATGAATCACCATTAGGACATTCGGAAATAACCTTAATTTACACGCCGAAATCATTTTTCGGTGCTAGATGGCCGCAATTTCACACCCCAAAAATTATATTTATACAAAATTTACTGGAGCCTCTAAACGTACGTATATGTGACATCATGCCGAGTCGGGATAATGCATACCCAGTGGAAATTCACTTTGACGATATTTTTTTCTAATACGCCAAATTAATTCGCCATATTATTTAGGGTGGTTTACTACAAGATCACCTGCGCGGTATTACAACAAACGTTATTATTGCCACAGACACATCGCAATGTGACGAGAAGTCAGGGGTTGGTATTTTCAGCCCAATTTTAGATTGGTTTTATTCCCTTCAACTACCTGATTTCATACACGTTTTTGTGGCTGAATTTCTGGCAGTAGTGCTCGCCTTACGCAAGTTAGATACAGAAATTACATCAGCTGTCATAATAACAGATTTTATATCTCTGTGTGCGGCACTTTCTGTTGGTACTCATAATCAAGTAACAAAAGCGTTCCGTGCACTAAAACCTGCGCATTTGAGAAAAGTACGATTAGCTTGGGTGCCTGGACATAAAGGCTTATTTCTAAATGAAATAGCGGATTCCTTAGCTAAGTCGTCAATCAGCGAACCGATTTTACCGCACTGTCCATCATCCGCTTATGTGACTGCTGCTCAATTCCGCAGACGCACGCTTACGGAAGCCTTTAAAGGTTCAGCACTAACAAACTCTATACCGAATATCGCCATTTATTATATCCTTGGCGAAGAGACTTTTGCCACACTCGTAAACAAAAAGTAGCTATCACAAGGCTGCGTTGCCGGGTACCAAATTTAAGTTTCTATAAACACAGGTCTGCTCAGGCACCTTCGCCACTGTACGCGTTCTGTGATGAACTTGAAACAACCCATCATTTCTTTTTGACCTGCATGTGGTTTAACACATTACAAAAAACACTTTTATAAATACCTTTACGTGGTATAGGTATGGATTTATCTGTGCCTGTCATTTTGTTATTTGGAGCTTCCATTTCTGGGTTCTCTAATACTATGCGCGGCCGTCCAGGACTATATTGATGAAACTAATAGGTTGACTAAACAATCTTATTCATAATCCTAACGTGTCTACAAAAATATATACGCATAAAAATCAGATTATTGCTCTGTTATCAGAATAAATTCGTTTCTTTCCTTAAGTATTTATATGCATTAGATCAAGCACCACAATTTCCTAGGTCATCGGTAATCTTTCTAATATATATCTCGATTATTCTAAATCGAACAATACTTTTTAAAACTACTCAATTCTCAGCCTATCCCCCGCAGTGGGTATGTGCCACGGACAATAGGTTAACAAGAACACGGACATAAAAATTGACCCTGTATATCATGTCTCTTGCATACTAATGAATGTACAAAACTTAGTCATCGCGAAAGAACAAAATTTTCTCGGTGTAATTTTTTATGCTAAGTTCACCTTTATCCAGCACATAAAACAGATGAAGCTCAAAAGCATCAAGAAAATAAACCTTATAAGAATTTTATCGCATCAGTCGTGGGGCAAAGACAGGCACTGGTCTTATCCCCCCCTATATTACCGATACATAGTATATGAGCCAGCTTCAAAGACAGGCCCCTTACTACTAAACCCTGTATACCACCTAGGCATATCCACCTGGCACTTGGTGCCTTTCGTGCCAGCCCTGTCTAAAGCCTTTATGCAGAGTCTGATCAGCGGCCACTGCACTATCAGCACACATATCTATAAGGGTCACCTATGCAGTCAGAATTATGTCCCTGAAACAGTACCCATGCAAAGCACTTATGAATGATGTGTCCACAACTCGACTATACCTAAACCATCTTTCTATCGGACCGCCATTTCCGTTGGCAATGAGAACTGCAGTATAAAACACAGAATTCGTTTCTATAATCTACAGAGAAGTGATCGCGCTGACAAACTAACTACCGAGACATTCGGGTGCGGCAAGGTGCGTCGCATGGCATCGCTGGAAAGCGCTAAAGTCGTTACCCCCTGGCGCAGTGTCTGGTCACTTGTGACTGGTCCTTCAGAGACCTAAAAAAAGAAAACTTGTCCAAATGCGTTAACTGATCAACACTGCTTGGCCCTTCACTCTAAAAAAAAAATATCGAGTAAAAAGGGTGTCTTTTTGTCCCACAAGAATAATCGTCATCAGGCTTGCGTGCGCTTCCTTTCTTGAAAACTCGGCGCTGGCCACTTTCTTATCGAGAATGCAATGTAACCCTGATAATGGGCATGTCGATCGTGACCGGAATGTACCGGGCGCGGGGCGATAGCGCAAGGATGGAACGCAATATAGATGACGATTATTGTTGTGGGACAAAAAGACACCCTTTTTACTCGCTCTTTTTTTTAGAGTGTTGAAAACAAATGTTCAGCCGCCTTTTTCTCTGATATCTCAAAGTTTCAAAAATCTGGCATCCTGTGCAGCCTATGGCCAAAACTTCTCCGACACCAAAAACTTGCATTAACATGCGAGCATTTTCACGGCTGAAGCCTATGGTATCCTGCTTATTTTTCAGCACTATATACAACACAATATAGAAAGGTACATAGTGTACATAGATTCCGTGAGTGTTATTACTGCACCGTATTGTGGCAAGTACCACAAGAACTTCTTTTTCAACGAGGCTCTTAATGAAATCCGTGCCGCCTATAACCTAAAGCTTTCTATTGTTCATTGCTGGGCGCCAGGCTATTCTGAGGATTGGGGGCAATCAATTACAGTGGACACGAATGCACGATCAGCAGCAAGTCGGTAAACTAGAGATAAAAGTTCTGTGCTGTGTGTGGATCTAAAACCTGTAGTACGTAGAGGGCTACTAGGGATAAAAGCCTGGTTCTGGGTGTGGATCTAAAACCTATAGTACGTAGAGGGCTGCGCTGCTATTGGCTAGCTGAATAGGACAAACAAGTCGACAACAAGCTCCAGAAAAAAAGACACAACTAAAGAAGGTTACCCGACAAAAACCCAAGAGATTAACCGAAGTCACCCAAACACGACTCAGAATTTATGCCACTCTTATGCCACACATTAACACCTTCTGACATGCACTAATCCGCCTACATGTATACACTGTGGATAGCCTAAATGTTTCCCATGTCCTCATTGAATGTCCCAGGCTTCAATAAGAGCGACTGACTAACTTTCGGCAGCTCTACCGGTATCTCATTCCACTTCTTCCAGCCCTATTTTTATCACTCGATGCAATGTTTAATCTTAAAGACTTCGTAATTATCTTGCGAAACTTCTTTTTTTTCGCCTTGGTACCGTAACTAGGCCGGACCTCTCGTGTGAGGTACTGCCTGTTGCCAAAAAAAAACATGTTTGAGCGTTCTTCGTTCTTGCTGAGGCAAAGACTTGAGAACTTGAGCCGTGAGAGTCTCGAACCTTGCTGACTGAGACTCTAGCCAATGAATTGAAGGCCTTTAACAAACTGACATTTATTTTAAACGCAGTGTACTTAGATATATTATATAGATATGCACGTGTACAGCATTTTTTTGTCCGGCTAACAAGATGACATTGCGCAATACTCGCACTAGCACTCTTTGGCCTTAGATGCCCTTGCGACAATAAAATTTAATGTAGGATAACGAGAGCGTCCCTTTTTGTTCCTCAAAAGACCACGAGCGTGCACGGGACGTGGGCTAAGCAGCCGCGCTGTCTAGGATCGGGGGAATGCCGGGTGGCGCTCGCGTGCGCGCCGTATAAAAACGCGCACTGCTCATCGATCCCGGAAGCCGGCGGCTGGCGGCGGCCATGGCCAGCACCCCATGCTCGCCGCTGCGACGCATGCGGCGCCTCATGGACTCGCTGCCCGAGGAGCCCCCGCCGTGCCGGCGTGAACTGGCCAGTCGGCCCCTGTGGCGGCGCGTGTTTGTCGAGCTGCTGGGCAGCCTGCTCTTCACGGTGTTCACGGTGCCTCTGCAGCCGCGAAGGCAGCAGGCTGCCGACAGCGGGCCCCTGCAGTGCAGCGTGGCGATGGGTGCGAGCGCGGCAGCGCTCGCTCACTGCTTCGCAGGTGACCTCAACCCGGCGGTGACGCTGTCGCGACTCGTCGGACGTCGTCTGAGCGTGGTGCGCGCCCTGCTCTGCGTGGCCGCACAGTGTTCGGGAGCGTGCCTGGGCGCTGCCGCCCTGTACGGACTGGCACCCCGCGACCAGCGGCCCGCGCAGCAGCCGCCCCAGCAGCTGGCGCAGGGCCTGCACGCCAGCCAGGCCTTCGGGGTCGAGTTCTTGGGCACCGTGCTCGTGGCACTGAGTGCTCTGGCCGCGGACCGCGCTGCCTCGGGTCCCCTGGGAGTCGCGTACGCGGCCGCTGCGCTGTTCGCGGTAAGTGCGCGCGCGCGCGATGCATGTCACTCGAGACAGCTGTCTGAAAAATGTGTGCCCCGAATATATTGGGCACGGGAGCAGACGCCTGTCGCGTACATCACTTCGCGGCGTCCGATGCACACGGATAAAGTGGAACAGCTCGCTGGGTTCATGCAAAACTGTTGTACGTTTACTGTTTGAAAAATTTTAATGGCTAGATTATTCACGAAACTAAGTTTTTGACAACTTGTTGAGGCTGTTGAGACGCTTGAGGCTCTATACAACAAGGTAAAATTGGAAGAAAAGACAATTCAGAAGCAAATTATAGAGATTTACCAGAAAATAAAAGACAAGGAACAGTTGGCTACTTCAGCCATGCACTACTGTCAAACAAAAACTAGCTTGAGTGAATAAGGCAGATGTCGTTCATCAGACTTACATATGAGTCTATTGCAAACAAAACCATTGCTCCTGTTGGGTCAATTTAGCCATAGTACATTCAACCTGAACACATATAGTTACTATCAATCTATCCTTGAGTAACCTCAAAGTCGAAGAGCCGTTTTATTAATTTTACCTCGTGTTATTGTAACAAGACATTTGTTGCGAACAGTCATCGAAAGGGCAACGTAAAGAGCTTAGCTCAATACTGCATCCTCTAAATAAACAGCCCCTGACGTTCATGATCAAGGCACCATTAACTGACGCGCATTTTGAAGTTTCATCGCACCAGCCTCAAACAGTGTCCCACGTAACGCTTATCATCGTCCAGTTACCGTATTTTCTCTAATTTCACCCCTGCTTCCACTGCATATAATACCCTATAGTGAATGTGAAATTATATAAAGGAAAAATTGATAATTATGCGTCATCGTAAATAGGTTGGGTGGAACAAAACGACAACTGCCGCTTGTCACGGGGTCCAGCGGCGCCAGCGATAGAGTTGAACGTTTCTCGTCAAGTCTGAAAAGTGGCGTGGTGTCGAATCAGTATGGAAGCCTTTACTTGCGTTTGAAATGCCCTCATACAGCGAGACCAGTGGTTCTCCTCTATGGATGTTTTGAGGACTCTTTGTGTACTGGTGGAAGTGATAAGGCACCTTTTGCCGTGACAAAATAGAAGTGGGGGTCGTAAATTAATGCAACGTGCTGCGTGAAACAGGTGCCCTTTGTTTCTCCGTGGAAAAGAATGGTCTAACTAAAGCGCCACACCAATTTTATCTCAACAGCTTGTTAATAAATGTCTGCAGCCGTATTCAGCCTGTTCTTAGCTGTGCTTGCTCTTCAAATATGCAAACCTGGGAAAAGCATATGTCGTAGAAAATCGCAACAAATGTTTTACAACCAGCTCATGGAGAAGGAGAGCTCCGACGCGGTGGCCTAGAGGCTAAGGTACTCGGCTGCTGACCCGCAGGTCGTGGGTTCGAATCTCGGCTGCGGCGGCTGCATATCCGATGGAGGCGGAAATGTTGCGGGCCCGTGTGCTCAAATTTTGCTGCACGTTAGAGAACCCCAGGTGGTCGATATTTCCGGGGCCCTCTACTACGGCGTCTCTCATAATCAAAGATGGTTTTGGGACGTTAAACCCCACATATCAATCATGGAGAAGGAGAAACATAATTCGACTCCCCCGCAATTCAAATTCTTTATGCGGTGAAGCAAACCAAAATTGGAAGGGGTCTCTGTCATTGGACATAGTATCCCTCAAAGAAAAACGCATTTTTTACGTGCAGCGTTTCTTAGTGGACTGCAGACACTTAGGTGTTTTTATCTGCGAATCTATCTATCTTTCCAACTACGTCAGGGTGCTCTTGATTGCATCCTTAACTTGGAGTAGACCAAAATGTGTATGGGAGTGTAAAGGCATTTGACGAATATGACTGGTCGGGTAGGACATTAATAACGTGAACTCGCGTGCGTCGCCAGATCATTTTCTTCAGACACGTATGACACATGTCCGAATACCTCGAGCTCCGGTATGCGGGTATGCGGTGGCCATATCCTCAAGGAGGTTATGGCCACAGCATTGCATAAGGAGTTTTTTTTTTTTCAGAGTTTTATATCGACGAACTCTGCCTCTATCGTTTAATTGTGCGCACACTGTGCTGATTCCTAAAGAAAAAGAGCAACATGTTTTACGCAAACTGACAGGATACAGGGCAATCACGCTAACAAACGTAGATTATAAAGTATTTATGAAAGTTCTGGCTAGTAGGTTGCAAGGAGTTATATACAAGTTGGTCGGGCCACATCAGACTTGCGGCATCAAGCGTAGGAGCATATTCACAAATATTCATGTCGCCAGAAGCATTTTAGAGTATTCTGACACTGCAATTCTGAAAGTAGCCATGTTACAAATCAATCTAGCTAAGGCTTTCGACATGGTTCCACATAATATACTCTTCACGTTAGCTGAGTACGTTGGTCTTGGTGCGACCATACGTAAAGGTATTAGATTAGCATACAAGAGTTCAACCACAAATTTAATAGTAAACGGAGAACTCTCACAGCGCATACATGTACTTTCCTCTATGCGCCAGGGGTGTCCTTTAAATCCTTTGCTTTTTGCTCTATTTTTAGAACCACTGTGTCAGAAAGTGATTCACAACGCAGGGATTAATGATTTCAGGTTGCAGTCATGTGAAATGCGCGTTTTGGAATATGCCGACGATATTGCCTTTTTTTGCTGTTGAAAGGGAGAGTGTTACTTCGTTATTAGAAATCACTGAAAGGTTTTGTGACACTGGTGGAAGTTTAATGAACGAAGAGAAAAGCATTGGTTTATGGCAAGGTAATTGGACCCTCACACCCAGTTCCTTTGGAAATATTCAGTGGCTCACGACACCTACTCTTTACCTAGGGGTACCATTGGACAAGTATCAAGACAGTGAAGCGTTTTGGCTTGAAAATGCTGAAGAACTGCGTGCGAAAGCCGAAGGATGGGGTGGTCGTGACTTATCAATTTTCTCTCGGTCAGCTGTATGTAACGTGTTTCCGGCTGCTAAAATTAACCTTTTGCAAGTACTTAGTTGTGCGCGTAAAACCATTCATAAAATCCACAGGATATTCGCCACGTTCTTCTGGAGCTCTACATGGGAGCGAACATCCAGAACTAACTTGTTTCGGTGTGTTAAGCAAGGAAGGCTGTCTTTGTGCCATCTGTTTCTTAACCAAGTAATGTCACGTTTCCTGCTTATAAGAGGCCAGAGGGACTCCTTTTTATGTTCTTTATTTCAAACGGCGCTGTTACACCACATGCCTGACTTCTTTGTATCTTCAGACAGAGGAGAACGACACACCTTGTCACCATTCTTGCGCGATGTTGTGTTCTCATATCGTTTCTTAAGGGCAAGGTTTTCGATAGATTACTTAACTAAAGTGAAAAGAAAGCGCCTTATGAAAGACTTAATACAGAATGTTGTTCCTGTGCCCCTTTACCGTTGAAAGTATGAAAACTCATATGGACAAGACGTACTAAAGCGAGTGAAAAACATGTGGACACCGCCCAATGTTGAAACTTTCTTTTTCAAACTTCATACGAGAATCTTGCCAGTGAAAACGTGGCTTGAAGAGAAAGGAATGTATGTACCATGGGCACGCAGCTGTATCCTGTGTAACAAACCTGAGACCATTGAACAAGTACTTATTGATTGCAACAATGCCATTTTCTTTTGGAAAATTTTACAGAGGACTTTAAAAAAAGATTTACCTCTTACTCCACATGGAATCTGTTTTTGCCTTGTGATAGTTCTGTGGAACATTTGGACTTTATTTTCTTACTTGGTCTTCATTTGGTTTGGCGTAGCATGCTATCGTACAGACACTGTGATTCAAGAGTTCTATGTGTTCATGAGTGTTTCCTGAAAGCTGTTATCAAAGTGCAAGATGTGTAGAAGACTATGTGTTGAAGCTGTAATATATTTGTTTGATGTGTTAACACACATGAAACATGTGTGATGTGTGATTGCTAGATTAACTTGACCTGTAGTCATAAAGGCAATAAAGAAAAAAATGCGTGTATGTGGCACAGGTGATTGACAGTTTATATCTACAACGGAATGTCGAGAACAGGCATTGCTAATTTAAAAGTGAGAGCGTTAAGGAAAAAAACTGTCATTGACAGTGTTAGCCTGACAAATGCACCGAATAAAAATCAGTGTCCTTAGAAAAGGGAATTCCAAGCATTATGCGTGGCAATCAGGTCAACAGAGCTACTCCAGGTCTGAGGACTGCTTTAAAAAATGACCCTATACAGGTGAAATCTTGGTGAAACGTCAATTATGGTTGCAATAGTGCCTATATGACTTGCTAAAGATTACATATGTACTTCTATGATACAGCCGTCACGTAACGTAGGGTTAACGTCAACTGTAGTTAAGCGACATCGACTGAAGTTGGTCTACGCAGCGCTATACAGGGCTACCATCTTCGCGAGACCAAGTGCTACATATCAGCTTACCGCGTTTGGAGTTGGCAATACCCATGTTCTGTTGATATCGTCATGAAGCTGTAAAGAACTGGTTATATAAAATTTATGCGACTTTTAAACATTTCTCTAAGTGTACAACATTTGTACATATAATTAGCGCGATTTCGTAACATTTCGCTCCATAACATTACACCACAGTCACCTTCCCTATGCATGCTTCGAGCAACGTCTATTTCTATGGTGCGTGAGATCTGCTGATTTTTTTTTTTTTTTGAGTTTGAGTATCGCGGTCTCCAAGAAATGGCGCGAGGGTCGGTGGACGCCTATATGAGAATTACTGAGCTACACCTTCAGTTTATCAAACAGAATGCGTAGCTAGTACAATGCCATTCCATAATATCAATGATTAGCTTCGTAGCCAAAGATTCACATCCAATTTGTTCATATAGGAGTCATAGAAGCAGTGAATGCTTTCATCCGAGCAATGCGTCGTGCAGTTGCATCGGACGCGATGATTGATGACGTAGTGAACGCTGAAGTCAATCAAGTCAATACACCAAACAACAATGAACCGAAAATAGATGCTCCGC